TGTGTGTGTGTGTGTGTGTGTGTGTGTGTGTGTGATTGGGTGGGGGTTGGGGGGGCGACCCATCCCCCACCAATCAATCAATCAATCAATCAATCAATAAAAAAAATTAAAAAAAAATCTATCTGTTTTGAGTCTGGTTTTGTTTTTGATTTTTTAAAATAATTTTAATGCTAAAAAAATAAAAATAAAAATATGGGGATGTAGAGAGCAAAAAAATCTACATCCCCATTTTATTTTTATTTTTTTTACTTATGTTTTGCCTGCAAAAACAAAATCCACGGGCCGAGTTGTACCACTTTCAACTCGGTTCAACGGGGAGTTGAAACGAGAGTTGAACGGGAGTCGAACCGTTCAACTCAAAACCCCCGTTGAATCCGATTTCGGACACATAGCTCAACGGTCGAATGTCCAATTCCTCCTCGTTGTCTTCGTCGCCGTCAAGAACGGCCTCATCCACATAGCATTCTTCACCCCCGCCAGCATCGCAATCCACGTACGTGTCATCCCCTCCGACGTGTGACCTCCATCGCCGACCAGTCGTCAACTTCCCACCGTCCATCAATTGCATCATTATGCGTCACTGTAGCGGATCCACCAGGTGTGGTGCTCTGCTAGTGATAGAGATGGAGATGGAGGATGAAGGGGGGAGCAAGATGCACAACGCAGCTCCCCACGCAAGACTCCAGCGCACGTACTCCAAAATGTGCAAGTGTAGAATGAGCCCGAAAACAGACAACTGTTGGGGTATACCCCAGCGAACTGACGGGACTGGACTGCCCCCGAATAGAACACAGGCCTGTGAGAACAGGCCAAGGGGCTGGTCTCACAGGCCAACCAGAGGTCCGCTACACGATCCTCGGCCTGTGATGGATCGCCTAGATGCAAACACGCTTCCGCATAGAAGCGGAACTCTACCAAAGAAAAAGAAAACCTGAGTAGTCTAGGATGCGGAGCAAGCTCCATGCTGAGTCCATGCGATGCAACCTAGGATAAAAAATGTCACAAAACAGCAATGTCACAGCTAACAGCCTAAGTGAAAGCAAAAGCAACTAACTAGCATACATGTCCTAGGAAAGTAGAAGCAACTAACTAGCATACATGTCCTAGGAAAGCAGAAAGTAAGTGACAACTAGATCCTAGAATGTTGGAGGCCGTAGCCTCAGTCTGGGAACAGCTGACTAGTGTATAAGTCCTAAGAACAACAAAAGCAGAACAACTAAATCCTAGAAATGTCAGTGGCAGTAGCCTCAGTCTGAGAGGAACAAAGCAACAACAAGTCAACCATATGTCACAGGGGAAGTGTGTCGCAAACCAAAGGGTGAGATGGTCTCTGAGGGTGGCGAATGCAGCCTAGGGGTCGAAAACTCCTAAGGGCATCCACACATAGATAACAGGGAGACACATGTCATCAGGCTCAATGAGGGTAGGGAACTGGGAGCGAACAGAACCAATGACCCTAACAGATAGACCATCAAGGCGGGTAATGCTCGATTAAGGAGTAACCGCTATGAAGGGTCGACCATGCAAGGGAACAAGGGAGCTTGTATACTGGGCGCACCTAGATGAAGCATACGGGGCTGCCTAACTAGGGCGTGAGGGCCGGCAGAGGGTAGAAAGATGATGGGTAAGGGAATCATGCAAATGACTCCTAAAGTGAGGGAAGTCGGAGCTAGATCCGTAAGATGGGAAGCCAGGGCAAGGCTACGGTCTCGATGCCTATGCGTATACCAAGGGAGAGCCCAACTCAGAGGAACCCGGCTAAAGGGAGACCATCATGCGACACAAGCAGGGTACTGTACAGGGTAAAGTGGTAAGAGAGTGATGACGTCTGAAGTAGGCAGAGCTGATCGTGACGAAGTCCATGAAGCTGCCGATGACGTCCACGATGAGAAGTCCGGAATGCCGTCGAGAAAGAGCCGCAACGTCGACGAGCTGAAGTAGCAAAACAAGAGTGGGTGGAGTACATAGAAGTCAAAGACGTGGGAAGGTAGGTCATAGTCAATCGTCGTATCGAGCAGGACAACGACGAGTGCGCTGTGGACGCTCAGAACCATCGGTCTGCTGCTGTAGTTCTGCCTCGGATGGAGCAGACTCGACTTCAGCAGTCTCCTCAACCTCGGGAGAAGGAGGAGGGTCAGTGGGCTGAGGATGAGCAGTGATCTCAGCACGACGAGCACGGTCATAGGCACGCACCAACATGCGAGCGTGCTGCAAGTGCTCGAGGGACTCCCAGGTGGCCTCCTCATCAGGGTCACCCTTTCAACGTACGAGATACTCGATGTGGGGAGAGTTGTCATCGGTGACTCGGCGACCAATGATGTCTGAAACGAGGAACTCCTCGTGGCCGTCCACCATGAGGGGCGGAGGGCGCTCGTATGGTCGTCCAGCGAAACGCTCAGACGGTCTGCGATAAAGACGCAGTAACGAGACGTGGTAGACATCGTGCACACGGGCCTGGCGTAGGTAGTCGGACAGCTTCACACAGAAGCTGACCGGGCTAGAAGCCGTATCAGAACCGACGGCCTGGAGAATGCGGCATGGGCCAAAGAAGCGACGCCGAAACTTGTGAAGCGTGTCCGCTTCGAACTGTAAGTGGCGGGCGTCGATAAACACATCATCACCGACTTTGAATGGGTGATCCATCCTCGATCGGTTCGCACGTGCTGCCATGCGGATCTGGGAAGCGGCTATGTGCTCATGTGCGGTCTTCATGATCGACGTCATGTGTGCAACCCAATCATCCAGCGCGGGACAACTCGTGTCGGGGTGCATCTGTGACGATCGAAGGAAGTCCGCGGGAACACGAGGGTGATAGCCGAGGTCGCAATAGTAAGGCAACATCCCCGTGGCTGGCGAGATGGCGTGGTTGTAGGTTATCTCCATGTGGGCAAGATGGAGATCTCACTGCTGGTCGTCACGAACAATCTTTCGGAGAATATCTCCGAGAGTCCTGATCGTGATCTCGGTCTGACCATCAGTCTGAGGATGGTAAGACGAGGAGAAGCGGAGTTGAGTGTCGTACACCTCGTGGAGCCGTCGTCAGAATCGGCTGGTAAAGCGCGGGTCACGGTCAGATATGATGCTTAGAGGTAAGCCGTGGTCACGCACGACTCGGTCAAACACGATGTCGGCGACCTCACGTGCACTGATGGCATAGCGGCACGGAACAAAGCGTGCACACTTCGTGAAGCGGTCGACGACGGCCAGAATAGCATCATGACCGCGAGGGGTCGGAGGACAAAGAGGACCGATAAAGTCCATCGAGATGGACTGCCAACGAACCTCAGGGATAGGAAGAGGCTGGAGCAAACCATAAGGCAAGTGGTTCACATTGTTCACCTCCTGACAGGTGGGACACTCTGCGACGTAGTCCTTCACAAAGTCTTTGCGCTTCGGCCAGACGTACAGGCGGCTCACACGAGCCAACGTCTTATGGAAGCCCATATGACCGGCGGCTGCCTGGTCATGGAACTCTGCTACTGCTCGGACACGTAGCTGTCCAGTGGAGGAAACGCAAATACGGGGCTCTCTGGTGCCCTGTGAACCGTGCCAGTACACAAAACCGTTGTCCCCGAGAGAGTAGTTCGGGATGGTCTTACCACTCCGAAGGGTCGCGTGGATATCGCGATAGTCGGGGCAGTGGCGGTACTGAGTGCGAAACTCGTCGATCACCGAGTGGTGGACAGTGGTGACCGAGATGGAAGAGAGCTGGATGTGCTCTTGATCGTGGTCAGGGCGCCGGGATAAGGCATCTGCGACCCGATTAGTCTCACCCTTGATGTGCTCAGTGGTGAAACTAAACTCAGATAGGTCGTGCCACTAGCGAGCCTGTCGAGGAGTGAGCTTCGGTTTTGTCAGAAAAGCCTGGACAACAGAGTTGTCCGTACGCACCGTGAACGGTGCCCCGTGCAGGTAGTGACGTCAGTGGCGAGCGGCATAAACTACTGCGAGAACCTTACGTTCATCAGCAGTGTAGTTTATCTCGGCGGGCAGGAGCTGACGGGAGTAGAAGGCTATCGGACAATCACCTGAGCGAGACTCGACAGTGCCGTCCTCGGCGATGGTAGGAGAATAGTCAATAGAAGGCTCGTTAGTAGCTGGACGAGTAGGCGTCAGTCGGGAAGCAGTGGCAGGGGTAGGTGGTGGGAAGCGAGGGATACGAGAATGAGAGGAATCAGGAGAGGAGGAGAAGACCTGGGAAAGCACTGCTCCTACAGCAAAGTCTGACGCATCGGTGGTAAGGATAAAAGGGCGATCAAAATCGGGTAGGTGAAGAACCGGTACGCATGTCACCGCCTTCTTGAGGGCGCGGAAGGCGTCTTCGTGGAGGGGTGTCCAAGCCCAGGGTGGGTTCTTCCGGAGGAGGGTGGAGGTAAGGACGTAGGAATACCTAGCGTATCCCCGGATGAAATTACTATAGTAGCTGGTCAGGCCTAGGAAGCTGCGAAGCTACTTGGCGGATGTGGGAGCGGGCCACTCCGCAATAGCAGTGATCTTCGCGTCGTCCATGTGGAGACCCTGGTCAGACACGTAGTGTCGTAAGAAATCCACTTTGTGTTGGGCAAAGCGGCACTGACACTTGCTCAGCTTGGCGTAGAAGCCATATTTGCGCAAGCGGTCAAAGACGTCGCGGAGGTGTCTGAGGTGCTCCTCAAGGGTACGACTGTAGACCAGGATATCGTCGAGGTAGACGAGAACGTACTGCTCTAGGATGTTCCTGACGATGTAGTTCGTCGCCCTCTGGAAGGTAGCGGGTGCATTGGTGAGGCCGAATGGCATCACCGTAAACTCGTAGTGGCCGAAGCGCGATCGGAACGCTGTCTTCGGCTGGTCGGCTGCAGCGACGCGGATCTGATGGTAACCGCTACGAAGATCAATCTTCGTAAAGAAGCGGTTGCCCGCTAGGCGGTCGAACAGCTCATCGGAACGAGGCGTGGGGTAGCTRTTCTTAACCGTGTAGCGGTTGAGACCACGATAGTCGATGCAGAGACGGAGAGTTCCATCCGCTTTGCGAGCAAAGAGGACGGGTGCACCCCACAGGGAGTTGTTGGGTTTAATGAAATCCAGTCTCAGGAGCTCCTCAAGCGAACGTTTGAGTTCGGTGGCCTCGGGGACCGAGAGTCTGTAGGGTGCCTGGTGGTGAACACGATAGTCAGGCACAAGCTGAATGGAGTGCTCAACGTCACGCATCAGTGGGATGCCGGCGTACGAGAACGACGATGGGAAAACGTCGTGGTACTCTCGAATGAGGTCACAAACTGCGGGTTCCAGGTTAGCCGTATATCGTGCGAGTTCCTCAGCGTCAGCGTCAGCGCGGGACGGCGGGGTGGACTCAACAGACGGCGGAGGGACGGAAGTAGAGATGGGCGCCATGGAGATAGAAGGAGGATCTGGCTCCAGAGGGATGAGCTCGGCGTCGGGACAGGGTGGATCATAGTGTAAGAGATCCGTCACGTTCACCATAAAGAAGGTAACGTCGTCCTATCGGATGAAGTGGGCGAACTGCCGAGGCGAAGTGACAGTGATAGAAGGAGATGGTGTGGGCACGGAAGACTCCGGGGGAGTAGGATCGGGGCATGGTGTCGCAGTGGTACCTATGAAAGGTACGCGATACGTCTGTCCTCACTTCGTTTTAAGAACGAGAGTATTGGTCGCCCAATCGGCCTCGGTGCTGCGGAACCGACGATACCACGGAGTGCCGAGAATGAAGTCGTACCCCGTCTCCATCACATTGAAATGTGCAGAGGAGCGGTGGCGACGAGACGTCGGGGGACGATTAGTCGGCTCGAGGGTGAGGAAGAAAGGGAGGTCGGTGACTTTCTGATCGAAGAAGCGCTGGGTCTTGTCATCTCCTAGGGTGACGGAGATGGGAGTCGGAGACCCGGTCGTAGGTAAGCGGGCTTCTTTCACCACACGGGGATGAATGAAGTCGCCCTGAGAACCGGAATCCCACAACACTGAGTACACCCTCGTGGAGGTCCCCAGTCGTACTGGGATGATCGGGAGGGTGCGATCAGGGTCAGAGAGGATGGTGAGAAGGCGACGCATGGCAGCGACATGGAGGGTGAGTCGCTCCTGACGAGCCTGGAGCATGCTCAAGTCCAGAAGAGAGGACACAACCTCCTCGCGAGTTGCAATCTGCTCGCTGCAACGGGTTGAGCGAATGGCTCGACGCGTTGGTAGTCGAGGTGGGGAAGGAGGGGAGACGGTGGTCTGTGGAGGCGCAGACGGTACTGCGACAGAGGGCTGAGTACACTCTGTCGAGTCCTGCGATACCTCAACTCCAGTAGCGAGAGGGGCAAACCGCGACGGAGATGTCCGGAAGCCCACTACTGAGGGGGGCGCAGGTGTACACTGCACCGTGGCTAGGAGGCGCCGCGCGGATGCGAGGCGCCGGGGGGAACTGAGCACGACGCTGGCGGGAAAGGTCAGCGTAGTGGCGGTCAAGGGCGGTGGTGTAAGGGCACCGCGAGAAGGTATGACCGTCCTGACGGCATCGCAAACATCCACGTCGACCCAAAATAGCCGCGCGCTCCTCAGCGGAAAGGACACCGCGAGGAGGGACAAAGCCCTGAGGGAGGTCCTGTTGAGGGACCTCGGGGGGCGACGCGCCAGCGTGCCCGGGAAAGGGTGGCGAGGATGAGCTGGAGGCGCTCAGCCATAGAGAGAGTAGGGTCCTCCAGTCGGTGTTGGACGGCCATGCCAAGGTCGAGATCGTCGCTATGGTCACCCTCTGGCGACAGCGGGGCACCAGCGTCCTGCTCACCATACTCGAGCGCACTGAAGCGGCGCGAGAAGTGGCGGCCCTGCTGCGCGGAACGGCGGGGGCGACCCCGGAAAGGGGAACGGCGCTAGAAAGTGCCGTGAGAGGAGGAGGAGGCATAACCAGTACGCTGTGGCTGGGAGGAGGAGGCGGGGTGAAGACGGGCCCACATCCGCTGATGGTCCCTGGCAGCCTCGTAAACCTGCGGGGCCGATGTGAACTCGTACCGCCATAGCTCGAAGCGGTACTCGAGCAGAAGGCTGGCCAAGAAACGATCGATAAGGGCCGCCTTGGGGAGGAACGCCATGTCACAAATGAGGCGGGCGTCCTGAAAGACCTGGATGTGGCGATCCAGGCCGACAGCACCACCAGAGCCGGACCAGCGTGTAGTGACGACACGCTCGAAGGCGTCAGTCACGTCATATCGGGCTCCGAAGCGATCCTCGAGGAACGCCTGAAAATCCATGAAGGTCGGAGTCTGACTCGCACGAACGGAGTAAGCGTAGAAATCCTCCCAGGCGTCGGAAGGACCGCCACGCAGGCGCGTGGAGAGGTGAGACACCCACGTGTCGGGTGCAACACCCATGAGCTGGAGCGTGCGGGTGGCAGACTGTAGCCACTGAGACACGCGTATGCCTGTATCGTCATACAAGGCAATGTCCGTCAAGCGGACGAGTGGTGCACCACCGTTTTGGTGGCGAGGAGAACGGGAAGCAGGGGACTGCGCTACGGTTGAATAAGTAGGCGCAGGTCCTGGAGGAGGAGGCGCAGCTGCCTGTACGCCCGGGCCGCATGGTGGAGCGGCAAGGGAAACAGCGGCAGGCTGCACGAGAGCTGCAGTAGAAGAGGTCGCAGCAACCGAGGGGATGGGGAGGAGGTAGGATGGGGATGGGTAGGGTGCAGGGCGAGGGAAGCGAGCCTGCATGGAAGGAAGAATAAAGGAAGAAGGGGTTGCGTCGGAAGGCGCGGCCACCTGCGAGGGTGGGGGTGGCTGAAGGCGTGAGAGGGCGAGGTCGGTCCGCAGCTGGGCGATCTCGTCCTCGAGACCTCGAACGTAGGTCGAGCGAGGTGTGGCAGGGGGAGACGCACGAGCGACGCGAGGCATCCCTCAATGGGGAGAGCCAGATGGCGCTGCGGTCGTGCGAAGAGGAGGGAGAAGTGGGGCACCCGGAAAAGCCGCGACCATGGTAGCGGGTTGTGGTACCGTGACCGTAGTGACCGGGGTCTGGGCGGGTGCGCCCGTAGACTGAAGGAGGACCTGACTCGTGGCGGTCGTCGTGCTAGGGGCGTGGACGGTCACCAAGATGGCCGGGTCGGGGGCAGCGGAGGAGGAAGCTCCACCGTGGCCACCCTGTCGGACGACGGGGGACCCGGACTGGGAGCCACGAGATGGAGGACACGCAGCGTCCTGGAGTTGCTGCACGCCGGCGGCAAGGGTCGCCACTTGCGCCTGTAAGGGCGCGAGGGTCGCAAGTTGCGCCTGGATGGACGCAAGGAGGGAGGTGAGGAGGGTGTACAAATCCCCCTGGGGCTGGTGGCCCTGGTCCGTCGACACGAGTGTGGAGCCCTGTGCCGTGGTCGTCGCCGCGTCGGCGGCGTGTGACACACCGTCGGCCATGGGAAGGTGACGGGCCGGACTGGAGGGGGCCAGGAGAGGTCCGCGTGAGCGGAGGGCGTAGGGGGTGGTCCGTGGTAGAAAGAGGCGGACGGCGTTAGCAAGGCTAGCGCGGGCCCCATCAAAGGGGGAGGGGTGGTTCGGGTCCTGGGTGTCCGAAGAGGAAGGGGAAGTAGGGGGGTTTTGAAGAACTCTAAACCCTAGAAAAACCCTAGGAAAACCCTAACTGAAGTTTAAGTGGTTAGGGTAGGGTACCGGTGACCTAATCAAAAAAATAAAATAGCAAGCATAGGAGGGGGGGGCGGGAGAAAAATAAATAAAAAGCGAGATTTTAAGAGAAAAACAAAAAAAAATAAATAATAAAAATAATTAAGAGAAGAAGTAAACAAAATGTGAAAAGAAAAATAATATTTATTTTTTTGAAATTTTCGGCAGCATTTCCCTACCCCCCATGGGGTCAAGAATGTGCCAAGGGGAAAGGAGAGACTAAGGTGAGCACACTAGGTTTCAAGATGCCGCAAAAAAAAAAAAAAAAAAATCAAAAAATAAATAAAGAAATAAAAAATAAAGAAATAGATAAATAAATAAAGAAGTAAATAAATGGGTGAGGAGATAGGGAGAAATGAAGTATCTGATTTGTCAAAAATTTCGACAGCATTTCGTTACCCCCATGGGGTCGAAGTGTGCCGAGAAGACTAAGTAAGGGAAAATCAGGAAATTTCGGCAGCACTTCGTTACCCCCACGGGGTCAAAACGTGTGCCGAAAGCAAGAAAGACTAACACCTAATCAGATTTAGGGTTACCGTAAAGAAAATATAATTTTTAGAATAAATAGAAAAATAAATAAAATAAATCAGAAAATGAGAAAAGAAGGTGGGAAAGAAGATATTTTGATTTTTTGGAAAAAAGAGAAAATATAAATCAAAAGGGAGATGGAAAAAAAGAAAAACAGAAAAATTAGAAGTAGGGAGGGAAGGGGGGATGAGAGAGTGATGGAGAGAAGAAAGAAATAGGTGGGAGAGGGAAAAAGATGGAAGTGGAAGGTGGGGGGATGATGTGGTGGCAGTTGGGGGAGAGGAGGGTGAGAGAATGGGAGAGAAAGAGGATGGGGAAAGATGGAGAGTGATCAAGAAACTAAGCGGGAAGAAGGAGGAGAGAAAAGAAAAGAAATGAAGAAAAAAGGGTAAGATAGTGGTTAGTGGGAGAAAAGGTGGGGTGGGGAAGGTAAAAAGAGGAGGGGAGAGAGGCAGTGGAAGGTGGGGGAAAGAAAAGGGGAGAGAGAGATGATACCTGGCCCTTGGTGTCTCCAAGGGCACAAGGTATACCAAGACCAGGAGGGTCTTGGCCTTTGCTGCAGCCAACCAACTGGAGGATGTAGGGGGGCTGAGATCTTGATCAGCCCCTAGTTGCAGCACTGCAGATCCAGGATGTGCTGTGTGAGCAAACCCTGATGGATGATGATGATGATCTAGGGTTGGCTGAGATCTTGATCAGCCACCCTACTGCCACAGTCACACAGCCCCCTAGCCAGGGGGAAATCTTGAGTTGCTGCAAAGCTGCTGCTGCAGCATTAGAGAGATAGTAGAAAAATAATAATAATAATGATGATGTGGCGCAGCCCCCTAACCAGGGGGGGCTTCAGTCCACAGCAAAGTGCCACGTGGCACTGCAGGTGGCCACGTGCACAGGCAGCAACAGCAGCCACGGGGGGGGGGGGCGGGGTAAATAGCAGCCTCTCCCGTTGCTGCCTCGCTGGCCGCTGCTCGCTGCTCGCTGACGGGGGGGGTAAATAGACAGCACCTTTTCAACACGAGGTTGCCGTGCTATAAGGCCATGCATAGATTGTGGCTAGTGTGCTATGAGGGTGGTACACGCACACGCATGGCTAGCAGTTGCCTGGGTTCAAACCCCAGCGGCAGCATACATCCCGGATTTTGATTAATGTAATCCGGGAGCGGGGCAGCGGGCCAGCGTGGGCGCGTGGCGCGCGCGCGTGCGGCGGCCTTGGCAGCGGGGCAGCGTGGGCGCGTGGCACGTGCTCGTAGTGCCGCCTGCTTTTTTCGCCACGTGTCACCTCCTGCAGGCGCCTCTTTTTCCCTGCGTTTTCACTGAAAAACAACGGGTTTTCCGCCTGCTTTTTTCACCACGTGTCACCTCCTGCAGGCGCCTCTTTTTCCCTGCGTTTTCGCTAAAAAACAGCGAAAAAAACCGCTGTCGGGTTTTGCTATTTTCCTCACCTGGTACAGTTGTACGGGGTTGTGGGTGGGAGCGGGGAACGT